CCCTCCATTTTGAGGCAAAAGCTTTCTATGTAGCCCAGGCTGGTCTTGAACTCACCGTCTTCCTTGCTCCAGAGTGCTGGGCCTACAGGTGCGTACTACCCTACCTTACAGTTTCTTTTAATAGATGTTGAGGAGGAAAATAATTATTTTGAAATAGTAAGCATTTTTTTCCTCTTCAACCAGACCAATTTTTGCTGGATTGTGAATTCTGTCTTCTCTGTGCTTTTAATAGCTATGTTATAGCAATGTTTAAAAAAGTGTTAGCACTCATATATTTTAAGAATTCATTTTTTGATAATACAGATTTATGCCAAAAAGTATTTTTTGCTTTTAGTAATGAGGTAAACATTGATTTATATGATCTAGCTTTTTTTTCTTTCTTTCTTTTTTTTTTTTGTAATACAAACTTTTAAAACTGTAGTTTTGAGACCTAAGGGAAATCTTTTCAAACCATATAAGAACCTGCAGATATTAAATATTTTAGACTTTGTGTAGCCATCTCAGTTGTACTTATTATAATTGAGTCTGAAATAGATTGATAAGGAAAACCAAAAAGGAATCACACCAGGTTTTGAAATGAATTATATTTAATTAGTATTTTTAAAAACGTATTTTGTAGGCTGGAGAGATGGTTTAGCACTTAAGAGCACTTTGCTACCCTTCCAGAGGGGACCCAGGTTTAATTCCCAAATCCTACATGGTGGCTCACAATCATCTGTAACGCCAGTTCCAGGGCTTCATGGGCACCATCCATGAATGTGGTACACATAGATGTAGGCAAACCATTCATAACCAGAAAGTAAAAATCTTTTAAAAAAGTATTTTGTAGGCAGGGTGTTGGTGGCACATGCTTTTAATCCCAGCACTCAGGAGGCAGAGGCAGGCGGCTCTCTGTGAGTTTGAGGCCATCTTGGTCTACAGAGTGAGTTCTAGGACAGGCTCCAAAGCAATACAGAGAAATCTTGTCTCAAAAACAAAACAAAACAAAAAGTATTTTTTAAAATAAAAGAACATGCTTATTTAATAATTGCAATGGCATGAAAAGTAGACAGTGTATCACATCTTCCCTCTGTCATACACTTTCCTGTCTGGGGGGTCAATTCTAGAGGGGTTTTCATGTATGTATGTATGTATGTATGTATGTATACACACACACATGAATATGTTAAACATGTCATTCAATATGATAAATATTGTCTGTATTTTTCTCTTTTTAAACTTCTGTGACTTGAAGATTGATCATTGCATATCCTATGTACAGAAATGGCTTGTTAATAGTTTTATAGTTTTCTATTTTATTGACATATGATTTAACTATCCCTCTTAATGGAACTTTAGGATTGTTTTAGTCTTTTGCTAGTACTAACACTGGTGAATATCCTAGTACGTGCATATTAATAAAGCTGTAAGTTAAGTTCCAGGAATTCCTTACCTTTAGAAGTAATAACTTGAAATTTTTTTGCTAATAGAATGATAAACGTCTATAGACTGGAGATTAAGAAGTGGCTTCAGAGATAGTAATAAATTATTTGCTTGCCGTAGGACATGCACGTTACTTTAGGATGTTACTGTTTTAGTAGCAGAATTTTAACTAGGATGGATTTTAAAATACAGTGTGTTAGTATTGATGAAGTGTTTTTACTTTTTTGTTACTTATTTTGGGATTTGATATACTGGATAAATAGGTTAATATATAATAATAAATGATGAACTTGTTTTTTTGACAAATAGTCAATATACAGCCAGGGTTAGATATTGCTATATACTATTTTAAGTTAATATATAAGAGTTTGACATTTTTTTGGTGGTATCATTAGGGTAAGAGTATTTAGATCTTTTTTTAATATTTGGATCTTAAGAATTTGAGTTTTTCTAGGTATGGCATACACCTTTAATCCCAGCAGTGGAACATAGAGGCAGGCAGATCGCTCTGTGAGTCCAGCCTGGTTTACATAGCAAGTTCCATGCCAGCCAGAGCTATGTAGTGAGACCTTGTCTCAAAAACAACCAACCAACGCCCCACCCCCAAAGATCACCCCAACTCAGTGTTTGTAAAAGATGAACTTGTTTTTTATTGTGTTACACTGTGACTATACATTGTTAGTACTCCTTTTTGGTTCCAAAACAAAGTGACAAGAAATACTATTTTTAGAGTGCATTTAAATTTAAGTAACTAAGGCAGCCATTTCTTAAAAATAGTGTTTTTGGTCTGGAACCATGCAGAGTTAGCCGACGATGCTATTTTAAAGATTTTTGTCCGTGTATAAATAGCTGGTATTCCCACACTTCCTGGACTAGCTCTTTGGAGCGTGCATATTAATGGCAGGGTAAAGGAGAGCCTTGAGAGAGATGCAGTATGTAATGCAGCAAACGAATGCAGCCATCATTTTCTTTCTTTCCTTTTTAATTGAGGATCTGTAGGGGATCTGAGAAATAACAGCCTTTAAAGTCCTCAGATAATTGGTATCCTCATAAAATACCTTTAATTTCAAATATAGTAAGTCCTCTCTGAAGGTACTGGGGGATCAAACAAATATAGTAAGTCTTATTACAGGAAAAGCACAACTTTCTTGTAGAGATTTTAAATGTATTTTCTATTTGAAAATAGAGAAGAAAAGAATAGTTTATGATAAACCGTGTCCCAGCCACAGCTTCATATTTATGTTTTCTGTGTCCCTTGTGCATTGTGGATTTACCATGATCCTCAATTGCTTAGGGGCCACATGAGGTTTGTCACCTGTGTTATTTAGGTATGATGTTTGCATGGCCTGAGGATACATTTGCTTAGCAGCCCTCAGGTGCATAAAGCTTTTCCAAAGAAAACCGTATGTGACAGCAGCTTTGCATGGAAGCTTCAAAGCTGTGGCTTTCTTCAGTGCTCTAAGTCAGTTTGAAAGATCCAGGGAGCAGTAACTACACAGCAGGAGGACGGGAATGCTGGCCAAGCCTGAGAGCTTTTGGCATGCATACTTGAGGTTCTGGGTTTGGTTTCCAACCCTGCAAGAGGGAAAAAATAAAAGATTTTACACTGCAAAATGAAAAAGTAAACTATTGAGAAAAGCAATGATTCTGCATACTGCTTGTGAGTTACTGGTGAGCATATTTAACTTTTTTTTTTAAAACATTTATCTGATTATATATATATA